TCACTTAATGGTATAGCCAGACAATGATTTCATCATGGAACCTGGAAGCTGAAGACGCCTGTTCCAACCTCTGCCTGTTACCAGGTTCCAAAGTCGCTTCCACATTTTTCAGGTAACTGTTCAGCAACGCCGCACTCTAGTGGTACTAATTTACTGTATTAGTCCATTTTCATGCTGCTGATAACAGACATACTTGAAACTGGGAAGAAAAAGAGACTTAATTGGACTTACAGTTCCACATGGCTGGGGAGGTCTCAGAATCATGGTGGGAGGTAAAAGGCACTTCTTACATGGCAGCAGCAAGAGAAAATGAGTAAGATGCAAAAGCAGAAACCCATAATAAATCCATCAAATCTCATGAGACTTACTCACTATCATAAGAATAGCACAGGAAAGACTGGCCCCCATGATTCAATTACCTCCGTCTGGGTCCCTCCAACAATATGTGGGAATTCTGGGAGATACAATTCAAGTTGAGTTTTGGGTGGGGACACAGCCAAACCATATCAGGTAATTATAACATAACGATCACCAGCAAATACATATTTAGTCTCTGGTCCTCAGTTTCTTGCACCAGGAACTTGCCAGGAATGCCTAAAATCCTCTAGGTAGAGGTGCTAAGAGAATCTTTTGTCTCTTCTAATTAAAGCTAAAGAGCTTCTGCACAGCAAGAAGAGAACTACATCAGAGTGAACAGGCAACCTACAGAATGGGAAAAATTTCTGCCAACATCTACCATCTGACAAAGGGCTAATATCCAGAACCTACAAAGAACTCAAACAAATTTACAAGAAAAAAAACAAACACACCCATCCAAAAGTGGGCAAAGGATATGAACAGACATTTCTCAAAAGAAGACATTCATAACAGCCAACAGACACATGAAAAAATGCTCATCATCACTGGCCATCAGAGAAATGCAAATCAAAACCACAATGAGATACCATCCTCAACACCAGTTAGAATCGGCGATCATTAAAAAGTCGGAAACAACAGGTGCTGGCAGAGGCGATGTGAGAAATAGGAACACTTTTCACCCTGCGCGTTGGTGGGATTGGTAAGCTAGTTCAACCATTATGCGGAAAACAGTATGGCGATTCCTCAAGGATCTAGAACTAGATGTACCATAACTGACCTCACCATTCCATTACTAGGTATATACCAAAAGGATTATAAATTCATGCTGCTCATAAGGAAGACACAGATGCAACACGGTAATGTTATTGCAGCACTATTCACAATTAGGCAAAGACTCTGGAATCCAACCAAATGTCACCGTCGACAGAGGTGGATTAAGAAACATGTGGCGCATATAACCAATGGAAATTACTATGAGCCATAAAAACTGGATGAGTTTTGTGTCTTTGTAGGGACACTGGATGCAAGCGCGGAAACCATCATTCTTAGCAAACTTATCACCAAGAACAGAAACCAAACACCGCACTGTTCTCCTCATAGGTGGGAACTGAACAATTGAGAATCACTTGGACTCAGCAGGGGAACAGAGGGACACACTCACACACCGGGAGCCGTATCATGGGGAGGGGGAAGGGGGGAGGGATTGCTATTGGGAGTTACTACCTGAATGCTTAACATGGACCGAGTTGATGGGTGGCAGCACGCAGCGCACATGGCACAAGTATCCAGCACTATGTAACAACCTGCCACGTTAGCACATGTACCCTACAAACTTAAAGTAATAATAATAGATGACAATAAATTAAAAAAAAAAAAGAGAGAATCTTTTGTTCTAATATTTTGTATTTCACCCTCAGTTCCTGACACAGAGCTCTTAAATCCCTAGGAATATTTTGGGTGATAGGAGCATCTTTTGTTCTCCTGGTGGGCTCCTGAACAGCCTCATGATGGGAGCTAATTGCCAGGGAAACCAACCATGTCATTAGAGGGTTAGAGCTCCCTCTAGGAAGGGGAGAGGAAATGAAGGTTGAGTTGATCACTTCCTGTCTTAGTCCATTCAGGCTGGTATAACAAAATATCTTGCTGGTGGAGGAAGAAGATGAAGGAGGAGAAGGAGAAAAATAAGAAGAAAAGAGGGATGAGAAGGGAGACAAAGAAAGAGAAGGAGGAGGAGAAAGAAGAAGAAAAGGAAGAGTGGAAGAGGAAGGAGGATAAGATGAAGATGACAAGGAAGAGGAAAAATAGAATCTTAAGAGACGTTAACAAACGACTCTCTAAGTGACAACATTATAGTAACTTTTACTGTTTTTTATTTTCAAGATTTCCAAAATATCATTAACTATACCTTAACTTGTACTTTATAAAATTAAGAGTATATAACAAAGCTGAAACCCCAAATTTTGTGAAAAGCATGATGCATAGGAGTCAAAACCTGCTATTAGGAAAAAAAAAAATAGGGACAAAGCCCCAAGCATTACATGAGGTTAGTGTTGGTTGTTTTCTGATGAACACAACACAGAAGAACGTGAGTATCAGGCTTAAGGCTCTGCCCTTACTTTCAGTAATAGGGGACAAGAAAATGTCTGCATCGAAGAATCAAGGTTAAGCATAAAGAGGCTTCCTTTTAAGCAATTCTGTGGGCTCGGCATGGCCACTGCATCCCCAGCAAGATCCCTTTATTTAGTCTCAAGGCATGGAAGTGTCAAACTGTAAGTTACCCATAGTGTAATACCACTCAGACTAAATTTAAACCAGGAAGCATAGTGTACTCAAAGCAAGTAAGCATTACTCTGAAGGTGATTGTCCTATAGACAGAAGACATGTTGTTTTGCTACCTTTTCCCCACAAATTACTGTGGTCCTGTATATCAGTTGGAGAGAATGGCACTATTCATTTAGGACAAGTATGAAGAAAATAATTGTTAAATTGTTAAATCCGTAGCTTTGGCACGCACCCAAAGAACTGTGCTTTTACACAAATGAACGCGAATGAATACAAGTTTTGAAAACAGAGCATTCTTACTCCAAGGTAGTGTGTTAGTAGGAAACTTAGATGATCCTGATTGTACTTCAACAAAGGCATGAGTGCCAGGCAGATGCCGTTCCAACTGCTCTGTGTGGTCTGACAACTGGTTGAGGTTCCATTGGCATTCATTTGAGATGGTCACCTGGGAAACCTAAATTAACATAACATCCCTGAATCAGGTAATCATGCACCATCCTTTATCGGGTAGCCACTTTGGGTTTGAACCAAAGAAAGATGAGCTTGAAAGGTGTGGAGCCTACAGTAGTGTTACTTGAAAAAGATCTTGTCTTTGATCTAGTTTTGTTGGCACAAGAAAATAAGCATATTTCTTGTTAGATCTCTCTTTACACTGGCTATCAGGAGGATAGTTAAACTCCTCATGCAGCACGACAGATATTTTTTTCAGACATATTTCAGATAGCTGAGATTTCTTTCTTTGACACACACACAAACAAGTACACAAAGCATATACTTGTATATATTTTAATTTTATAATTTTGATTGCTATTATGTTAAATCTTGGAAAATTTTCAAAAAGCATTTTAAATTATTTAGCTGTTATTTTTGTTTTAATACTCGTATTAAACGATTTCTGTTGGAAACACATTTTCTTATCTCCAAAGATAGCATACACTTAGTCAATGTTTCTTATCTTCTTGGTCATCTTCTCCTCTTCCAAATGTTGAACTCTCCCAAGGCCCCATTCCTGACACCTGTTTTTCCTCCAGCTCTTCTGTCTCTGCAGACAATGTTATCTATTCCCATGGTTGTGTATAGTGTTTGTATCAGGATGACCCCAAATTCTTATCTCCTGCTCTGACTTCTCCTCTAAATTCCTAAATCCTAAATCTAACTGCCTAATTCATATCTACATTTGGATGCCTACAATGCAACTCAAAATCAGCACATCCAAAATAAAGCTATTGGTTCTAGATCCCACACAAACTCCAACTCTTTTCTTCAGTGTCTGTGTCTCAGTGAACAGCATGTGCACTCAGGTATATACACGTGATTCCTGTCTTTCCCTCATCCTACATCCATTAACAGGCTGTATTAATAACTCTTGTCAGTTCTGGTTTTACATTATATTCCACATCTGTTCAATTTTCTTCATTTCTTCTAGGGTCACCTTATTCCATGCAGTCATCATCTTGCATCTTCATTCTTGCAAGAATTTCTTAAGTGGTCTTCCAGCCACCATTAGCTGAAAACCGCCATACTTTGGGTTATAAAATATTATTCCTTTGATCAAAACTCTCCGGCACTTCCAAACATACTTTAAAATGGAAGTGAAACTCTTACCTAGCCAAGAAGTTCTTATGTGACTAGGGCTTATGCCCTTCTGCAACCTCATTGCCTCTCACTCTCTTCTCAATCATGATTGCTTCAGTTCTGTTAGCTGAATGTTTCCGTTCCTTAAACACTCAAAGCTAACACTCAGGCCTAAACACTTAGGCTAAACACTCAGGCCTACAGCCTGTTTTAGAAGCTGCTCCCTCTGCCTGGAATAATATTCCCCAGTATCTTCACATGTCTGAGTTCTTCTCATCTTTTAGATTGCAGTTTATATATCTACTCAAAAATAAATAAATAAATAAATAAATAAATAAATAAATAAATAAAGCCAGCCCTGATACTACAAAACGAAGCCATCTACCAGTCAGTCTTCCTAACATTTACCTGATGTATTTTTTTCATGCAACTTATTACTTACTATTTACTTGACTTTGAATAAGTCATCTTTTTACATTTTATGTTCTAGGCCTTTAAAAAGAGCGTATTTCATGAAGTTGATTTCAGTATTAAAGGAGTTAATACACATCAAGTGCTGAGAGTAAATATTCACAGAAGCAATCAATTTATTCTTCCACACAGCAGTCAGTAAATGTTGGACTAGTATTAACTATCATATTATTCAGGATATGAACTAACTTGTTTTAAATCACAGATGATAATTAAATATTAATTCTGCCATTAAGTGCCCATATCCAATTTTCAAATCATCATTGTTGCCTTCACACTCAAGCAGGTCAGATGGCCAAAGCTTAAAAGTATATAGCTAAAATTACTACACAATGACACTATAACCATTCTTGCACATGTCTTTGATAAACACAAGTACCCACTTACGTTGGATATTTACCTAGGAATGAAAATACTGGGTCATAGAGCATGCATGTATTCAGCTTGTAGATACTTCTGAACAGTTTCCCAAAGTTCTGTTTCCAAAATACATACTTATACTATATTTTAGGTATAGTCAAAAGTTTTTCAAGTTAGCTATCACAAAAAGGTAATTATCCCAGAATATAATCCATATGACAAAACATACTCCTATTAGCTCAAAAGATTATTATAATTAGAAAGAAATGTATCAGCATAAAAATGATATAGGAATTACAAATTACTTATCACTCTACATTTGTAATGCATATATCACTGTTTGGAATATCTCATTATTTTAATTGCAACCAATTACTCCAGTTGAAAGAGTCACAGCAAGCAGTATTATATATTTTAGGAATAAATTGAATATATCATCCAATATCTCATCCTAACATCCTACTTTTTCATTTATTAAAGTGTCAAAGTTCACATTAACGCTCATAAGAATTTTGAATCCACATAAATATATAATTAAGCTGAAGGTGAATATCTTTCAGGTGGATTTACCAGCAAGTATGAATGTTAAAATGATAGCTAACATACATTTCTACTTTTAATTTATTCAGTGCAGTAATGATACTGCTACAATACTCACATTGTTGTGTCATCTATAATGTTTAAAGATAATTAACATGAAGATGATGTTCTATAATTGCTTTATTGGTTTTTTTATTGTGTGTGAATCTAATATTGCCTCGCTATTGACTCTCTATATAAACAAATTATTTTCCAATTTCTTACAGTAGACAAATATGCTTATTCAATAAGAGAAATGAATATATTGAAAACAATTTTGAATAATATATTATATCTTAAGACACAACTTCAAAGATTGTGACATAAAAATTGAATCTAATAATGTGCCTTTCTAGTGGACTTTACTATCAAAATAAAAATTCTTAGAGTTAACCTTTTGTGGTTTGGAGATAACACTATTATAAACTTTGTTACTTTGTTGTATTTTTTTTAGACTCTTTCCCCAGTCTACGGACACAACATATTTAATCTGAGTTGTATGTGATGTGTGGTGTGGTTAATTTGTTGTCCCGGTTCATGTAAAGTGTGTTAATTATTTTTAATTTGGCATTTCATTTTCACTGACTAATCAGATTCTAACTGTAGAAATTGACAACTTGTGGCTAAATTCATTCTCTTCTTGTGTTTCCAACTGTGTTTTCACTGGGCTTCTCCTTTGTGCCATTTTTTGGTACATCTTTTGATTTGGTCTTATTAATTTACCTAGATGAAGAAGTAAATCCTACAAAAGTACAAATACATTTATCACGGTCTTTATATTGGGAGAACTAACCAATTGAGTTTAATTTTTTAGAATTTGTGTTTTTCTTATCCAATATGGATTTAGAAGTGGATAGAAAATAAACCCATTTGGAACATATATGAAGCCCATTGTTGGTCTAAACTTCCTCACAGGTTACTTGAGTCCCGATCCATCACAAATACAAACACATTTAAAAACATAAAGCATTATTATGATGGAATCAAAATACCATGACTAAATCCATTTTCCCATCACAATGTCATTTCTTAGATGAATACAAACAATGTTCATATTAAATAGCCATTTCTATCATGGATATGAGTTTCTGGTGTCTTGTCTTTGCATAATAAAAAGATCTCATTTTTACATAAGCAAAATGAGCACCGTAACATTGCATAATTTATGTTTGTATCTTGGCTTTGCTGAGAGTTAGATACAATGGAAGGAAGAAGGGCATCGAAACTAGGCAAATGTGAGTTCTAAACCAAGCTCTGACATGTGACTTCAAGTTGATCACCATACCTTTCTGAGCTGTGGTTCCATCTTATGTAGGATGGAGACAACAATACCTGGAAAAAATAATTGTAAGGCACTTAGCAGACCATAAGGTGAGTTGTCCCTCGAAATGCTTGTAGCAATTTACAATCTTCCATTACCATTTGATAATTCCACTGAATTCTCTACCCTACTGCCCATATCCAACCAGCTGTTAAGCTGTTGCTATCTGATCTGAAATAAAGTCAAGAGTAGCTGAATGGCTTTGAATGCCCAGGTGGCAAGGTAGTGTATTAGTCAGTTATGGCTGCTATAATGAAATATCATAAACTGGGTGGCTTATAAACAGCAGACATTTATTGCTCACAGTTTTGGAGGCTGGAACTCCAAGATCAAGGCATGGCAGATTCTGTGTCTGCTGAACGAACTTCCTGGTTCACAGAGATGGCGCCTTCTTGCTATGCCCTCACAAGGTGGAAGGGGCAAGGGAGTTCTCTGGGATCCCTTTTATAAGGGCACTAATCTAATTAAGGAAGGCTTTACCATCATGACCTAATCACCTCTCAAAGCCCCCAACTCCTAATACCATCTGGTGGAGTTAGGATTTTCTTTTTCTTGTCTTTATTGTTTTTTGTTGCTGTTGTTGTTTCTTTGAGACAGGGTTTCTCGGTTGCCCAGCTTGGAGTGCAGTCCCAAGATCATGGCTCACTGCAGCCTCGACCTCCCATGCTCAAGTGATCTTCCTGCCTCAGCCCCCCAAGTAGCTGGGACTGCAGGCACGCGCCACCTCGCCTGGGTAATTTTTGTATTTGTAGTAGAGGCAGAGTTTCACCATGTTGCCCAGGCTGGTCTTGAACTCCAGAGCTCAAGCGATCCACCCACCTTGGCCTCCCAAAGTGTTGGGATTACAGACATGAGCCACTGCACCCAGCCAGAGGTTAGGATTTCAAGAAAGGAATTTTGGTGACATAAACATTCAGTCTGCTGCAGTGGGTGATAAAAGATGATGCTGACAGTCTTGCAGGGTCTATTTCATAGAGACCCCAAGTGTCATATTTAATTAAAGCTAGTCTTTACTCTAAAGGGCAAAGGCCTTTGAATGTGCTCTTCTTTTGTCTGGATGTTCTGCTATTGTATATTCATCCATTTTCTCCCTATTCTCCTCTCTGGATTATCACATACATAATGTCAACTCCTATTTCAAGGAAACACATCTTTTCCAAGATAGACGCTTTTTTAAAAAAAAAAAAAATTTCTGCCACATTTCATCTGCTCCCTTTCAGATTCCTGGTTTCTGATAGATGCTACTTTCTTCATGAAGTTTGACTTCCACCTGTAATTGATTTAGGAACTGTATTAGTCCATTCTCACACTGCTATGAAGAACTACCTGAGACTTGGTTATTTATGAAGAAAAAAGGTTTAATTGACACACAATTCCACAGGCTGTAAAGGAAGCATGGCTGGGAGCCCTCATAAAACTTACAATCATGGAGAAGGGTGAAGGGAAGCAAGCATGTCTTACCATGGCAGAGGAGGAGACAGAGAGAGATAGAGCAAAGGCAGAAGTGCTACACAGTTTTAAACAACCAGATCTTACAAGAACTCATCACTATCATAAGAACAGCAAGGGGAAATCCACTCTCAAGATCCAATCATCTTCCACCAGGACCCCCTCCCCACATTGGGAATTACAATTTAATATGATATTTGGGCAAGAATACAGAGCCAAACCATATCAGGGATCTTTCAGGTAAACTCACATGTACTTACGTCTTCAGACACTCATCATACTACGTTGTAGTAGCTTTTGAAAATATGTCTGTTTCTCCCCACATGACTGCCATCGCAATAAAGACAGGGATGGCTTTGCCGTTGCTCGCCATCATATTCCCATAATTCTACCATCTCTCCAGTTAGTTCTCCTCATTGTTCTCGCTTCCAAGACCCCAGTCCCACCAGCCTTGGACTTTCTCTTGACTAATTTACTCTCCTATTTGAGGACTCAAGTATCATTCTTTATAGGTACAAGCCCTGACAAATACTGATTGAATGACACAAGCAAGTGAGAACTATTATATATAAAGGATACAGAGACATTTTGGCCACACCTGGCACAAGCCCTGGTCACAGCATAGTCTACAGTTGTTTCTGTCATTGCTGCTTAGAATTCATTTCATTTTTCTTCCATTTCCTTTTCAGTGAGTTTTCTAGTTTCCCCCAAAAGACTTATTTAATCATGGACATTGGAGTACTTAATTAATTTCCATTGAGCATGGTTTCAAAATATCTAACACTTACACGCAGGGTCCACTGCTTTCTTTCACTGACTTCCCTGGTGAATATTGAGCTATTTACCCACAGAGCAGGAAATACACATGGTCTCATTAATCTCTACTCTGCCTAACCCAAACCTACTCCCCTGCAAACTCAATGTGAAACAGATTGAGTATCCACTCCCATATATTATTTAGAGAGTACCATTGATTTATACATTTCCTCAGTGAGAAGGGTAGTGATTCCTTGGCCCCATACTCAATTTAACTGCAGGGAAAGTTTCTATTTGTTGAGAATACCTTTTCCCAATGCATACAACTATTACAGGGGGGTTCATCTGGTTTAGCCACAAAATAACTCTCTGCAGGTATAACAATCTGAAACATATGAGGACTATTTTGGGAATATTGTCTAAGAATAGGGTAATAGTTCAAAATAAATTGCAACAATTATTAAAGTGAAAACACTTACCCTAAGTCAGAAATCATGCTATTACCAATGTGAAGAAATTTAAAGGCAATATGAACCGTATCTCCAGACTTTTCAACAATAATGATAAACAAAGACACAGGATTCATTCAGAACTACCACTCAGTCTCTAAATATTTTTTCTATTAGAGAAGTGCCTATTTCTTGCTAAGCAGTTCACAGCACACCTCTATTACTGTTTTCTTGTGTGCATATCTTAACTGTTGATATTAGCTCACCTAACTTCCTAAAATTACATGAACACTCAAAATATCTCCTCATACTTTATGTTTTTGTTTAATTTTTTTAAAAAATAAAATATAGTTTAGAGAAAAAAATACCTTAGTGCCAAAATCTTAAAACCTTTGGTAAAAAAAAGGGCTAACAGCAGTTTAGGAATTCTTTTTCTTGTTTACTGGGGATGCCAAGGAAAAGAAAGAAAGATGACTTGGGCAATTTACCTGTAAGCTTGCAAATGTCAGACCTCTTGGAAAACACTCTAATTTTATCTCCTAGTGGGAGATACCATTACAAAGTTTTTACGATCCACTTTTAGCAGACTGTTGTAACTGGTCTGGTTAGTATTGTTTATAGACTTAGGGATATGGATTTCTGAAAAATGTTACATAAGCTGTGTAATTGAGTCTACTTGGAAATGTCTCATGAAAGAAGCATCTCCCTTCTGCATAAGGGGTGCTCCCACAAGCACTGCTTAGAGAACTCATAGTTGGAACCCAGGGTCAGAACGTGTCCTAATGAAAGAAGAAAGGATTCAAGTAGGAGTGTGGATGGTCCCAGACTTTGCTTTGGCTGTGTGAAATTATTAGTAGCATTTGACACTGGGCAAGATTTCAGAGTGAGGTTCATTCAATAGTCCAATATGTCTAAGCTCTATGCTGATTTTATTTTAGAAGACGTTCCTTACCTTTGTCCCTAAACATATATTTTATACTTTAATATTTTATGCCATAACATTCACTATCTTTGTCATATTTATTTGTAAAGATTGAAGGCTCAAAATTAATGCACTAAGCATCTAACATCAGAAGAAAAAAAGAAGAAATAGTAGAGATATACTCCTTTAAGGATAGCTTTCCTCTTTCCTCTGAGTCTCTTTTTTTAATCTCTTTCTTGTTTGCCTTAGACTATATATCATGTTAAAACCTATGTCAACTATTGGTCTTTCTGGACTGCTCAATCCATGTTGAGAGTGACACTAAAATGTCAATTGGTAGCTCTTGTTTTCTAATGGTGACCTTTACAGTACAATAACTCACTAGAGACCTTGCTATTTCACTGGGTGACCATCACTCTCAGCATCTGATTTTTTTTTTTACTTTGGGTTGGTCAATTTCTTGAGGGAGGAATTCTGGCTGTCAGCAGTTGGTGAACAAGAGGAAAAAAAAACAATTAATAATTGTGTATAAAGAATTTAACCTAATTCAGACTTGCAAGGTTAAGAACGTTTACTTTGAAAAAAAATCAATAATGTTGATATGGAATTTTGCAATAAAATGCTTGAGGGTGGGAGCCAATAAAGCAATTCCTTCAAAAAACTATGTGAAAGTTATTCTCCACCTAGAACATTATACAATGCCAGGTAAAGTCACCAATCAAATGTGAGCATACAATACAAATATCCTCACATATTTAAAGTCTGAAAAATGTATCATCTTTTCTGAGGAAATTACTAAAGGGAGTGATTTACCAAAACAGAAAAGGACTGAGAGTAAAGAAGTAGTAGTGGCAACACAAGAGAGAAACTAAATAAATTACAGGAGCAATGGAGATAAGAAATTCCAATATCAAAGCTATGCAGCATGTCCAGAGGGAATGAGTTCAGTGGTTCAAGAACATACAGATGTTTCTGGTTATTTTGAAAACAGGCATATATTTCTGTGGGAGAGTCAGAGACAATTCAAGAAAAGTTACATAAAAATTAGACAAGTAAACAAAAGGCAATTACTAACTCCAAGGAAAACCAAAGAGATGTATTAGAAGGGAATACAATCATTGTTCATCATATGGTTTGACTGTGAATAACTGAAATATAGTGTTAATAACAGAAACAAAGTATACTTGATTTAGCCAATTCCTGTGTTCATTATAGGTGGAGAGGAAGTGAAAGAAGTAAAATGGTAGTGGAAGTGATAAAAGAGATAAATCAATAAGTAATAGGTGGATAATATCTAAATCCAACAAACAAACAAACAAAAACATAAGCTTGCTATTTAAAAAAAGGAAGTAAATATCTTGAGAAAACAACTAAAACAGTTAAAAATGCATGTATTTGCAATGCCAGAAATGGAGAAGAGTGATGGAAAGAACTA